TACTATTACTTGCGCAAAGCATAACATGGGCTTAGTACCGTATTACAATGCTTTTATTATTTTGCTCCCATTTAAGTATTCCCATGCATCTGCGTCTAGTTTAACAGGAAAACATACAAGCAGAGTAAGTGTATGGTAAACTAAAAGTCTCAGTTGTCCAAAAGATTTTTAACATTTGTCCACAGCCAGCTGAATTTAATTGAGACACAGAACACTCATCTTCTAGGACTGTATACTGCTGTTTTGCGGGCAACTAAAAGCTCAGACAATTAGCTATCTTGCTACCGATGTTATTGATGGGGAAATTGTTTAATGACAGTGATCATGAAATATGGTCAGTGATAGATGTACAGTTTAGAAATAAACACCAAACATACTTATCGCTATCTTATAATGTATGACAGCAACAGCATCAAAGGCACGTATTTTCCTATTTTTAATCAGACTGATCTGAATCCGTATACACATTAGAAACAGGCAACTCTACTTACTAAACTGATCTGTTTCGTTACAGGCTTCAAGCACTATACATAAGTATATCATAATCCTTTCAACTAAACTGAATTATACGACAACCAAGAACACTAAACTAAGCAAGTGTCATAGTTATTGTTTCACTTGCAAAGACATGTTGCTCAAAGTAGGTAAATGGACATAATTAGGCCGATAAAACCAAAACACGAAATATAGGCTAGTTGAACTTACCTAAGAAAATAAGAAGGATACATATATACTGCTTTAAAGGAGTATTCAGTATGAATTCATACTGAAGACAACAGGAAGTTGATCATAGAAACACAGTTTACAAGACAACAAACCTTTCTTCAGTAAAATCATGCACTGACAGTCTATCTGGAAACAATTAACTATGTGAATAAAATCACTATGACTTGAGATATCATCTCAGCGTGCAATGGACGTACAGCGTAACGCAATCAGACGTGGCGAATAAAAATTAAAAACAGAGAAAAATTAACCACATAATCTAGTTATTTAATTAAAAATACATTATGAAATGACAAAATATGTGGTTACTTGAACGCACAAATGACAGTGTGCGATACATTAAGTTTACATTGGTTGCGTTGCGGATAAGATCACCCCGTGATAACCGAGGAGATTACAACTCCCAACTCATGTCTATGTTGGGATTGAACCTCTCTTCGTGATTGCGTATATTCGACAGCGATATTTTAAGTTTTTAGGAGATTTTCCTGACTGCATACACCGATGATCTGCATGAATGGTTATGTCCCCAAACCTCCATTATACTGACAATGTTCTATGATGTGTACTAAATGAGCAAGTGATAGAGAAACACACTGAAATCATCTATTATAAATAAACATAAGCACGAGAAAACAACACTAGTCGATGATAATTACGAGTCAGTTCACTGACCAAGTTGGTAAAAAGTTTCATCAATTTCAACAATTATGTTACGTGTAACAATACGGACTATGATATTTTTAGAGTTAAATGTTAAATGCGGTTGTAGACACTTGATTGGAACTTAACAGGTCGAACTGTCATGTCATAAACGTCCCGTCACATACGACACAAACCATCCACACCCTCTATGGTAATCTTCTGCAGACTATCTTCCAGGAGCGTGACCTTGGACTTTTAACCACGAAGAGCTTAGACAACAGTTCAAACTATATAGGCGACGCAGCAACATCAAATTTGTCCAGCTTCAATAAAAAGATAGTGATCCTCGACAACCCGTAAAACATGAATCAAGCATATGGAATTTGGTGAGGAAAATTTAGTGTGCAACCCATCAACACGTTGGTGGTCTCCCAGAAATGCCAAAATATTATTGACAGTCAGGTTGAAGCCTATGAAAAGAATTTGCAACAGTGACGTTGGCTATCACATGGCGTAGATCTTTGAACCACTATACGACATTTGGTGTGTCCAGGCTGCCGCGTTCGTTATACGTCGCTACTTAGAATACAGAGACTGCAGTCCCGCTAACAGGATATGCTATACAGGCAATTCGATCTTCTCGCACTGTCTTCATAACCGATTAATTAATTTATATTTTGAAGCAGCAGAGTTATTTAGGCACTCGAATTATCGCATCAGTCACTGATCTTTTGATAAGCTATATCTGGTACTGAAACTTGTCTTCTGTTGCCTTTATGCACATGTCCCTTACATTTATTAAATTGCCTGTATGCGGTGTTATTACTATTTCGAAGAAGAAAGTGTGATTCTTGATGACCGTAGGTTGCTTGTATATTTTCGTGCTTTTGGTGCAACAGACTGCTCTGTAGCACAAAAAGTCGTTCACAGTAAATATCCCAATGAGCAACCACGCTAACTCGAGGATGAAGCTGCCAGTCTACATGCTGTAGATTGTCCTGTGAAACTGAAGTATCCATCCGTTCAGAATTCCAGCATCTGTTTCTGGTCTGAGATTTTGATTGTGATTGCTTCAGCAAAGCGAAGAGAAGCAGTATCTTTTTGTCTGCTACCAGTTTGAAAGCTTGAGGAACGTCAGTGGTATGCCTAGTGTCACATGAATGCCAAGCTATTGCATTGTTTAGAGGCCTTGTCGCTCACAGTCTTAATTTCTTCGGAACATGCTTGTAATGCGAAGAAATAATCTTTTCACGGTTTTTGCAATGTTTGTACTTTGGCACGTACATGAAAATTTGTAGATGCAGTCGGAGCTACTGAGAGAAGATGACCTGTCAATTTCGAGCCAGCGGACTGTTCTCCATAGCGTTGTCAATTTTACTGGCGTATTAGTCTCTTTTAATGTGAAATGTTTCCTGTTATCAGTTGTCCCAGAGACTTCATCTTCTTTAAAACACAAGTGTAAGGAGTGGGTTTTCTTTTCAACTGTATCGTATTTAGCCCGAGGGTCAGGTTTGGCATATTTCTGGATAAACTTCTTCGGATATAAACTTTCGCGTAGGTAATTTGTAGTGAGAGCAATTTCATCTTCTATGCATACCTTTTAGCAAATTTTGCGTGCGCGGTTAAAAAGGGTTAGTATAATACCCTTTTGTAACTCATTGGACAGAAACTGTTGTAATTGATATAAATTCCACTCCATGTATTCTGCTGTGAATGTGTCTTTGTAATGTTACGTTTGATGTTCGTCTGAGTCCGAAATCTTAGAAGTGGAATATACCTTATACGTCGTGTTTCATGTTAGAATCTTTAACCTCGTGTGTTTTGTTAAGCAGATTGTGTATGTTCATGGAGTGCTTAGGATTGCGACAGACGAGAAACGTGTCATCAATATATTTACAGTTGACTGTAGTCCCAACAATTACGCGCTTGGGCTCCCTCTGTTCCAGGTTTCCCATAAATATATGGGCCAGAGTTAGACCCAAACAGTCACCCATGGTTACTGCATAGATTTGGTGGAAAAACATATTGTTAAATAAAAATTGTATGTTTTTGGTACACAGGAACAGCAGCTGTTGAAATACGTGGATTGGTAAAGACAGACGTTCGTATTATTCATATATGACATCTGCCGTTACTTCCGAAGGGATGCTTGTGAAGAGTGATGAGACATCAAACGAGACCATGAATTTATCGGAAGCACTAAGGTCGCCATGCTTTTGCACAAATTTAAAACTGTCCTTCAAACTATAGGGTGCCAGTTTTTACGGCCTGGTTCAAAGCATCTTGTCAGCCAGTGCTCGTGTTTAAGGACATCACCTTATCAATGCACTCATCTCTGTTTAGGATGACTCCACCTTAACCCATATATGTATATAAGAAGTATTTCATAATCGTTTCTCAATGCCTGCGATTGACCTTAATTTAACAGCTTAGAATGCGGGACTGATGTCGTAACATACTGATTTGTATTATCCACATACTTCAATTTCAAAATACTTTGTTTTTCGACTCTCATGGGTTTTGGGTCTGACAACTGTTGATATAAATACTCAGACTGTGTTTTGATGTTAATTGTTCCCCACTATATCTAAACCTAATGTTAAATTTAATAAAAATTTGGTTGTAAGCAGCTGATGAGAAACCATGAAGTATGATGAATTCATATTATCCTGCATCCACGTTTGTTCTGGAATTATTTAACTGCACAAGAATCCGATTCGACTTCAGTGGTGGGCAGACAACAAGGTCCTTGCCTTCAACAGTTCAAATTGTAAATTAGTCCATCCGTGACATGTTGCAGACTGCGAATACAACCTAAGTAACTCCCTTCTAGAGGTATACCAAGTTGAAAAAGATCCAGAAGAGTTGATACTCTACGACCTGATGTCTTGCGCTGAGAGGAAAATGCCTACCAAGCAAACATTGCACTGGTAAAATTGAAATGCATTTATGGCCAGTTCAACGAAAAGACTTTCCACATAATCTTCAACGGTTTCATTTAACCCCAGTTGAAGTATGGAAACACAGAGTTTCCATCCTCACTCCAAAAGGAATAGGACACACTGCAGCTTAATTTAACGCGAGCTAGGAAATCCGTTCAGGGACTCAAATTCAGGTTTGATGAAGAACTCTTTCAATCACTGAATTTTTACTCATTTGAATACAGGCGTCTTAGAGGTGGCTTTCTAATGGCTTATAGTATCCTTAACACTTCTGGACATCCCCTTAAACACATACATAAGATTAGTCCCAATACAAACCTAAGGGGTAACATTCAGAAATTAGAGATACAACATAGCAGAACAGACTGTAGACATAACTTCTACTCCTCAAGAGTTGTCAAATGCTGGAATTCGCTGCCGTATAAACTAGTTGAAGCGATTTCCTAGGAGTCCTTTGAGAAGAAACTTGACATATTCTTGAGGGTTAAGTACAGCATCTCGCTATAATTTACTTTTTTCTATTTTATCGTTAAATATAGCTATATTCCGACCTGTAGGCACCGGTGATCCACTGCTACCAGGTACTGAAGCCCGTTAAACGAAAGCTTCTTCTGTTTAGTCCAGAACCATTTGAACGTAGTGTGGTCATTGAACATTGGAATGCTGTGACGCATATGATATAAATATAGTCAGGGTAGTAGTAAGGAGGTACGAGTTTTGAGGGACAATTATTCTTTAGTTCAGTCGGTGGTGTTTAATTGTTTGTTGCTAGTTAAATTTTTGTCAAGCTAAAGCACTATCCTCATCTCATGAAGGTATTTATCCCTATGTGGATTCCAAGCGTTTAATAGAGTTGCAAAAACAAATACCGCCGTATCATAATTGTATTAATACTCTTATGTGTGATCAGTGTATTGATATACAAATCCTTTTATCCCTACAATGTGCACTGACAAAAAGTTGTAGTCAGATCATCCGAATCATCATTTGCACTGGGTTTTAGAATTGTGATGCGCTTCGAAATATATGAATACGTAACTTACTGTTGAGTAAATTAATTCATTAGTAGGTTCATCTTCTAAGTATCCTTTCACACACTTTCCTGGGAACTGTCAGTTATGTGCGTTTGTGTTTTTTACTGCTCATTTCACACCGTGTACTGCAGTTGAAGCAGTATCAAAGCACCACATTACCTCTTAAAGTTGGTTTTTCCTGCTAAGATACTATTTGGTCTGTAAAATTTAATTGATATAAAACCACCGTGTGATCATTACATATTCATTTGACTATTTGTTATTAAGGTTGCATTTCCGTCTATCACTACACACTTCTCAAATATACGTATCTCCTAAAAATGTCTATTAACCAACTGTCATATTACCACCACCCTAGTAAGATTATTCACGTCGTACATAGTGTTGGACACTAACGGTTTAGTAGATGGGTAAGTAAGTTCCTTCAATATATGGAGAATTCCTCACATGCTGAGTTATTCAATGAAACAAAAAGCCTGTATATTAACCACTACAAGTATTATATTGGTCTCCTTTTGTTCCCTTTTGTAAAAATGATTTAGGTGAAGTGTTACTGCCAACCCCCTCACTTTTCAGAACAACCTGGGAAGTTAATTGGCACTAACCACCATTCGGGTCTCACACCAGTGATGTACACATTACTGCGGGGGTTGTGGCAATATATATCACAAAGGGATGAGTTTTCTGTTCTCATACTAGGTTTGGATGGCGCTGGAAAAACAGTAGTTTTGGTTACATATGATTGACAAGTCTAGACTTATTTAGAACAAGCTAAAATAAATTTTGTTCCAAATTATAAATCTATCCCAATTCAGAAAATCACTACTACTGTTGGTCTAAATAGTAAGTTTCCCGTCTTTCCATAATTTCAAGTTGGATACATTGAGGTTGATGGGATCCGGCTTAAATTTTGGGATCTCGGCGGTCAAGAAGAGCTTCAATCGTTGTGGGATAAGGTTAGCTTAATAAGCATTTCACAGTTTTATTTAGTACTATGCTGAATCGAACGGTGTTATTTATGTCGTTGACTCTGCAGATAGCGATCGTTTTGATGAGTCTAAAGATGCATTTGGTAAGTGCCTCTTGTAATTATTAGTGTTAGATAAGATGATTAGAAACCCTGTACTGGAAGGTGTCCCGTTACTGGTTCTAGCTAACAAGCAAGATATGCAGGTAAGAAAATTAGCTATGTAATTCGACTTTTGTAACGGATTCAACTCATGTACCGATTTGTACCTCCACAACTTTGACAAAACTGATCCTTTGTAACGCATCTGTGTCAATGTATGCATGCACGGATCTCTTCACCATACAACATAGTTGGAGTTGTTAGATATTACAGAACCTGTCGTAAAAAAATTAATATAAATATACTTATTTAGTTACCCTAATATCATGTCAATAAGACTGATGCTTAGGACAATAACGTGGTTGATATTTTAAGCATAACGCGGTGAGGGCCTGGGACGATTGTATATTAGCCCTTCACGACATCACTTATCAGTAGATTAAGAGGAGAAACTAACAAAACGATAGATGACCACCCAATTGTCTTTGACGTTTTCTTGTTCAGTTCGTTTAGATATAATATAAATATAGGGAAATACAAAAGATTAGTCTAATTTCCTCCTACATTGATACAATAATAGATGGATAGATGACCGGTTTTGGAAATCGTCATATACTAAGTATTCGGAATAAATTTAGGTTTCCTTAAAAGGTGAAGAATTTCTAAATGGCGAATTCACATATTAGAAAACTAATGAAGGGTCGTAACATTTTGAATAGTCAGGAAGTCTTTCAAAGTAACCACCATGGCTCCTGAATCTTGCGTGCGAACATCAAGGTATCTGTAGACAAATCCTTAAGTGTCTACCTCTCGTATGAATGGTTGCAGAAACGTTGGTTTGAGGACTGCTTCATAGTGAAGTCTCCAACTCATTTCTGATGCTGAAGCTCTTGTCAGGACTTCCTGTCACTTTTCCTTGCAGTTGTTTAATGAACTCAAGTATGTAGCGGTAATCTGGATTTCCGTTGTGCTTTTTTACAAGTCATCTCGTAGTCTTCTTCAAAGCTCTCTATTTTGCGTCTCATCATACAATACTCAGTGAGTACTGAGCTGTCATGGTGGAGTAGTCGAAGTCCTCGACGAATCGCACTAGTACGTGTTACCACTCTTTGACAGTATTTTGGTGACTACCGTTGTATTGTAGTTAAACCTGCCACTTTCCGACCCACATATTTGTTCTTAAAGACGTTGGGAGTTGTACCCGAAAATAGGAACAATGAAGTCCGGAAGTGTATCAAATGTATCTAAACGAACCTACAATTCAGTTGACAAGCATCTACACTATGTTCTTGTGCCTAATTCACATTTTTTAGAGTGCATTCCATTTGTCTGAAATAAACAAAGTTTTCTACGACAGTCTACGTCTTGTTGGGCAACGTCAATGCACATTTCATGGTGTCAGTGCACTTAACGGGTAAATTAATCAGTAACATGTCGATTTCTAGATATAACCATTTCAGTCAACTCATAGTGTTCTTTCTCAGGTTGGTTAACGTTTTATAACATATGGAGTAAACGTCTTGAGCGCATTTAAACTTTAAATTTGTTTTGTTCGATAAAACGCACAACACTTATATGGTGTCTCAGTAACAAACATGAAAGGATATACTTCAGAGACAAAGACTCTGCCATAACACTACTGGTAACTTTCAAGTGTTGAATATATTATGAGGATGATAAGGCATATCGAAATACCAATGCCAAGGTTGGACTTAATGGTTTCTAGCAAATTGAGCACTGGATTGGAAGTTAATAGTGGAAACTTTTCGTTTACTCGGAAAGTGGCTAACATTAAGTTGCGAAACGTCAGTAGTACAATTTCCTATTCATTGGGATATCACAAGAAATATATTCATTAGTGTATCGAAATACGTTATTCACCTCCAATTACTAATTAGATGGATGTAGAAGCATTGCTTTCAAAGTCAGTGACCATTTACCTCCCCCCGAAATTAATTAAAGATGAGAAGTATACTTGCCCTTTTGTTAGTAAAGCCGGTTGATGGAAATGCAGAACTTCATCAACTGAAGTGACTCGGATATCTGCTTTGTATACTTACCTCGAAGCAGTGGTAGTTGGGGTAGAAATTGGTTGAATAAATGAAGAGACTGAACCAAGATATGGGGTCTGTTCATGAACTTTTTAACTGTTAAACTAAGTTGTGTTGATAAATTCAGACTACCTAGCTAAGGAAAGTGTGGACGGAATTTGAAGACAGATGACTTCGCTCAGAATTAGATTGTTTTTTAGTGTAAACACCTGTGTTTTTATTTCTTAGTTGTTTCGAAATGTAGTGTTTAAGGGGTTTATTGCCGTTGCTAATATCCAATATTGTTTGCGATTTCTAAGTAGGAACAGTTGACGGTTTCCTAGCCCAAAAACTATAGGATCATATCCTCCTTAACCTCATCAGTGAGTAGAATCATAAGCAACTTTTGGTAAGACAATATGCTGAGACGATGAAATTTATCTCGACATTTTGAAGTGCATACAGTAACACCCCGTAAAAAGTACTAGTGCGGACCATGTTCTCTTTTAAGAATCGATGAAAATTCGGTGAATGACCTTGTAATTTCATAGAGCTAGAGACCAGTATTTTTAGCCTTAGAAACCAGGAAAAGTATATAGCAATCTAAGAGGTTAAAGAGAAAATGACGAAAAATAGAGTACTTCAGTATTCCATGCTTGAAACTTCCTGAATATCTACATCAAGCGCTACTTTAACTAACCAAAGAAAGTAACTAGACTGATGAACGCCAGTCTATTAGCGTGATCCTGTTGTGTGTCGTCGAAAGATACATTTACACCTAGTTGACCAAAATAATAAAAGCAATCATTTCTTCCTACCGAGTTTTTACCAATCGACCATTTAGTTGTATGACGTCTTCTAATATATTAACGCTGTCTATTTTGATGTTTACACTTTGATAGGGAGGGAATAAACAGCAGTATCAAGTGGATTGCTGATAAGGTTAAAGGTAACGCTAAAGAAAGGCCACCAAAACAACTTGAAATCCCGTAACGTGTCTCCGTAAAACTTTTTTTGTTCATATAGTACTCAAAGGATTCTGCGGTACTACATACTTTTATTTAACATCTTTTGGCAGGTTTAATAGTAAATGCATGTAAATCTGTATCATAAAAAATATGACGAAAATGTATATTAACTTAGGTTTTCTTTCATTGTACAACAAGATGCTTTCAGTAGTTGTAATCTTTCCTTTGATTTATTGTCGAGTGATAAGGTTCTAAAAGACAACAGTAGATATTAATATTAATAACAATTGAATTAAACTATAAGTAACAAATAGTACCAATCGTACAAGTAGTTCTCCTAACTATCTTGAGTAAAGCAACGACTAAGTTTCAAGGATTTAATTCGCGTTATTCTGATTAAATGTTTGTCCTTGCTCTCTTCAACGTAGTAACAACCAGCTTTATCATCAATAAAAAATGTACTAGTTATGATCGTGAAACATCAACTTGGTTTTACCTCTGGGGTTGTTTTAACTTTGGCAACTTTAGCTATGTATCACAATCAGTTGTTGCACAATATTCAATTTTACTAATTATTCTGACAGGAATATGGTTTTCTCGTTGTATATATACAGCTTACAAGTTGTAGTAAGAAAAAGAGTGGATGGACCTGCGGCATTACAAGCGATTTTGAGACATGTCATTTGAAGTCTATAATCACCGGTTGCGATAACCGCACGGAGACCATCCAGGTAGTTCATACTTGTTGTCATGACTCAGTCAAATCTTCGATGGCTTCATGGACTAGTGCCGATTGGCCATCCTTACCTGATACTTGACTTCTAACCCCAAACATTGCTTACTCGGTAATCCAAAGATACATGAACAATGCTTTGAAGACACCTATGATCGAATACTAGTGACCTACGACTGTCTTTTATTGTTAATGTATTTCACACCCTTAAAGTAGAATGAAACGAATTGTTGCACAGTAAGTTCGTCGTTTGGTTGGCAGATAGATAATCTGCTCTACGCCACAAGTGATGGGATTCGATAAAATTCAAGCGGGCTTTCTTAATTTGTACCGAGACTTCGTGAGTGAATTAGTCGATGCACTCGACTACTCCACTCCCTATCACTGATTCAGGTGCTGATGAGAACCGATGAGCGTTATCTCTTAACGAATATCTATGACAAAGTCAAATAAACATGGAAAATCGGGCAACCCTGGCAAACACCACTTGAAGTTATCAATTTCAATAACAGGTCGCTTTATTAATGTAAGGTTTAGCAATGCGTAAGTTTGCTATTTTATATAAATCGATCAGCAAAGTAGTCTGTTTACTTTTATGCATAAGGAGGGAGCAATTTCATAATAAAGTAGCGGAACTTACGCAAAACAGCCATCATATTGACTTAGACAGTTTGTTAGAGCCCAACAAAACGTTGCATAAACACGCCATGGTAGACTGGCATCGGATGCAAAACGATAATACGTTAATTTACATAAATCATTTGAAAGGAATGAATCGCCTGAAAGTCGCTTCGAACTTCTTAATGGAGTTTGAAGATGTTCAGCGGATAACATTGTACTTGTATATGAGCTGTCAGGAACTGGACAGTTTACTGACTGTTTGTACTGAGTAGAGAGCAAACCGACGAACTTCAAATGCTTTTCAACTGCCTTAAAAAACGGAACAATGCAGTATGAAGAAGTGGTTAAGATGATTACCAAGTAACAAGTGTGTTTAAGCCATCCACGTAAGTGTTTTGAGAAAGTATTAAAACACCTAAAATTAATTCCCATGGGTACCGTTTCACAGGACATCAGCTTGAACTCTTCATAAAGCGCATTTTGGTTAACATGGTAGTATTATTTCCCATCGCATGACACATTTGATTCACATAACAGTATAGAGACCAGTAATTACGTATTGAGCTGGATTACGATTGCTTAGTAATAAGATTAACGTCAGTATTCTGATTAACAAGATATTTATGACAAAAGCTTTCCCTTGATAATAGCTGTGAGATAGGTGTTATTCCTATAGTATTAAATGTATATACATTTTGGTAACTAGTTACTAAGTATATAATCAACAAAAGTCATCCGTTAGGGGGTGGGGAAGGAACCATCACTTTTGGTGTCGGATCAAAGTTTTTCTGCGCTCTGAATTTTAACGTTCTTCCTAGCAAACCGATTTGAGCAAATTCAGAGAGATAATAAGTCGAAATATTTCTTTAGTGAAGCTTAAATTAGTCTGCCGGGCAAAAAGTTAGAGCTATTCTAATCTCAATTACTGAGATGATTTTGAATATAATTTTTACATCATGCCTTCAATGAGCACTTTGCATCCGATTTGGATCAAACTGTTCGTCTGAACTTTGACGATCGTTCTTATCAATTATTTTAAGAAGGCGACTGTCGGTTCGATTTATGCAACTGAATTTAGGAAGTGGTTGGAATTATCAAAGGCCACAAATTTACCTCTAATCCATCCACAAAAAGCAGTAAGATCCGCCCAAGAGACTGTTGAACCGATCCAAATTGGTCTTCATTGTAAGCGGCCAGTGTCAAACAAGCTAAGATTTCTGTTGCCCAGATAATAACTTGACCACTTGTTCGTGCTAGCGGTCTATCGATGTCCAAGTCGTCTGCATGTTCAATATCTGTAGCAGTTGAGAAAAGGTGTGCTGTCGAAGCATAGGGTATTTCTGAAGATAAAATACTGAACAGTTGTGTTCTAGACAATCGTGTGTATAGCTTGGAAAGAATAAAAATAAGATAGATCTTAGTTAAAAAACAATAGGATACGTATATGTAAAATAAGGCGACGCGAAGGAATGAACAAGTTAGTAGACACTGTTTTTATTAGATTACAGCGGACTTCTACTACATCCAACTGAAAAGGTCTTGTAATCAGTTGGGCTTTCCTACGATTACTACTCATGATCTAGCTAAATTCATAGAAGACTATGAAACCAGTTGAAATCTGAGAAGAAATAAACTTTCTTGATACTGACTTACAGAATATTCTAGGAACTATGAAAATGTGAGACCACAAAGATATAGGCCTTTTAAAACTACAAATGATCTATAGCTGTAATCGCTTGATATATTTAATACGTAGACAAAACAGTGTAATGTTACTTTAGCCGCGTTTACTGGACTTCGGCACTAACAATTAAGATTTGACGAAATAAAAAGTCTTAAACTTGTGTTCTGATCACTGCTTTAATTAAGTATTTCACTTCATATTTAACCAGCTGTAGTGCACATCATTGTTAACCATCTCCATAAATATTTCACTTATTTCCGAACAAGTCTGGTTTTGTCTAATTGTCAACAAAATCCAGTGTATCCAATATTTTTGTTAAATGATAATTTTAGTCGTTTATTTTTTACCAGCGTACCTTAGAAAGCAGAGTGCGACCAACATTTATTAAATTTCGAGCAATTATGGACCCGGAAGGTTGCATATCAGACACATTTCCATTAGTAGCAGACAATTGTTTTACTTTAACGCTGTTGCGTTGACGCAGATTTGATTCAAATGATGAGGGTAGATACTGTCTATATTTAAAGTCAATATTTTTAGGCCAAAGAGCTGAAAATAAGCGAAAAAATCTGAATTATGGGGCATTGGCGTATAGATGTTACAAACGTGGGATCATGAGAATTGACAAGCACAAATGGTTTCAGTATACACTAGAAATGCCTATCGAAAAATGAGAAAAGTAAATAGGACTGTAGCGTTACTACATACAACTCGTCTGGTATCTGAAAATATTCGACCTGGACAGACAGTGAGAATGGAGAACTTATGTGATGCGAATCGAGATCATTTGTTTGAGTTAGTGTGGTCCCAGTGAACAGGATCAAAGGATAGAATAGCTGGTCAACAGGGGGAGTCTTGTTAAACAATAAAATTACAGAATAATTAAAAATTAAGCACGACTAAATACCACTCAAAACAAAAATAAGCACAGATCATTTACTAGTTTATGGAATTAGAACGTTAATTTTAGGATTATTTCTCTCCACAGAACATAGTTTTACATTCCACTGAAAAGATCATCCTAGTTTTTTGATTAACTAATGAGGGGTCTTTTTCTTAGATATCCTTTAAATGACGTGAATGCAATTGTCTTATAAACAGTATGAATCTCTAGATTAAGTAGGACATTTGAACCTACTGACTAGTTATTAATCTTCGAAATATTATCAGCTCTGATGGGTCTGCAAAGCAACGAAATGGCTATAAATTGGTAGTTTTACAATTGGAGACTAATTTGACTGATGGCACGAAAATATCCATACGCATATACGAGGTCGTTCATTTCATCTGACTTACATTACATCTAAGGGAAGAGGATACAGTTGATTTGTATACAATAACTAATGAACTAATAGTGGAGACACTGTACAATGCATAACTACATAAACATCGGTGGATGAGGAAATTGAGAGATAGTAAGGAGTCATCTTAGAAAATGAATGGAATGTTTTAAATGAAACGATTTGACAGCAGTGATGTCTAGCTAAACTATCCATCAAGGATATAAAATTTGTAACCACTTAAAATAAGTTCCTTAGCTTTAGTCAGGGTTTAAGAAGGCGTAAGCTACTGGAAGTGATAGGGATGACTGATTGTATTTAAGAATGATAGTTGAAAATCTCTATAAAACTATTAATAGAAGTCGCACTTAAGCAACTGGCTTTACCTGTATTGATTTGAGTAATCAAATAGTAATATAACGATGTTGATAAAATGGATATTTTGAAAACTATACATACGAACACCGGATGGTTGACCGTACGTTTAGTACTAATGCGGAAACACTATACGAATCCTGAGTATTGACTAAATCTCCTCTATATACTTTGAAACGCTGATTCATTAAGTCATATGTTAGTCATACTTATCCATTTTTGAGGAGTGAGATATACCGCAGCAAAGTTTTGATGGAATGAAACAAGTGTAGGGGATTTCGAAAGCCGGTAGCTAAATAATTGAGGCGAACCGATAGATTTTACAGCAAGATTACTTAAAATTACTGACAACCAGGTGCCCATCATGTATGCATATCTGCGTTATATTGGTTTAGTGACCAGATGCTGTACGAATGCCGTTCATAGTAGATTTTTAGGAATCGATTTCTTACTAAGACATTATTTGATTGACTCATGTTAACTGAACAAGGTATTCCTTGCTCCAAAGTAAACTGATAAAGTAA